GATGGAAAATGTTGTCCACATCCAAAGAAAGAACTATGGAATTCGAATCGCTATCACTTATTTTTACCTTGTGTTGAGTTTTGTTTCATCTTTCTGATGGTTCCTCTTATTGGTTTTAATTTTTACTTACAACTTCACTAATGTGAAAATAGGCTTAATGGGTATGTAAATGTAAAGCCTATGTCAGATTGTGTGCCTTCTTGGGGAGGGTGGGGGGAAGGAAAAGGGAGAAAAATTTTCAACTCAAAAGCATATGGAAAAAAACATAAAAAAAAAAGAAAAAAATTATTGGTCTAGCTGAAAATCACAAGGAAAACAAGAGCCTGGACAGTATCTTTCAGAAAGTCATAAAGGAAAGCTGCCCTGAGGTCCTAGACCCAGAGGGTAAAACAGCCATAGAAAGATTCCACCGATCACCTCCTGAAAAACATCCCCAATTGAAAACACCAATGAATATAGTAGCCAAATTCCAAAATTACCAGGTCAAAGAGAAAATACTGCAAGCAGCTGGAGAGAAAGAATTTAAATATCCTGACACTACAGTCAGGATTTCACAGGTCCTTGCACCTTCTATATTACAAGACCGTAGGGCATGGAATATGATACTCCCTAAGGCAAAGGAACTTGGATTACAACTGAGGATGAATGACCCAGCAAAAATGAGCATGATCTTTCAGGGGAGGAGATGGATGTTCAATGAAAGAGGGGACTTCCATACCTCTCTGATAAAAAGACCAGAGCTCAACAGAAAATTTGATCTTCGAATACAAAACTCAAGAGAGATATGAAAAGACACAACTCATCCAGATGGTGATCTGGATGCTTCAGCATCGGCTTCTGATTCAACTGCACACATAAGTTTGCGTGATGATCCTCCCCAACAAAGAAGAGGGTCGAACATGAGAGGAGGATGTCCATCACCACGTGCATGGAGGGCAGAAGCCTGAACACACCCAATGCCCTGAGGTTTGGCTCACCAACCAGCAGTGATGACATGACCCTCAGAAGTCCCAGCATGGAGAACTGCAGTGCTGACCTGCTCCCCTGTGGAGACTGCCCACTGAATAAAAGAATGACTGAGAATCTGTTGGCCAACTTGTCAGAGCATGAGCAAGGAGCCATCCTCAGTGTCCCTGCTGCTCAGAACTCTGAAGATTTCCACATGTTTCCCAGGCTATTATGTTATTTCCAGGGACGCCCTCACCTGGAAGAGATTGTGTGCAATGAAAACATGCGACGATCCCAACCGTGGATGGTCGTTGACAAGTTCTGAAGTGTGCTGGTGGAGACCAACCATGAAGAACCAGTTATGTTAGTTTTCCGGTCACTTCTAAAATGAATGGGAAATTAGCCCCCTGCTCAGAGAAGCACTCACCCTAGAGAATTCTTCAAGCCACCAAGGGCCAGAGGGGATGGCGAGGCATTCCACAAAAGGAGTGGCTATCTTGGGACCACGGTTGGTTTCCTCTCAGGCTCTAAGTTGGCCCTTCCTCGTATTCCTCCTTCTGTGAAGCAGAATGACTGTGTGCATTCCTAAGGAGTACAGTATTAGTGAGACGAAAAGGCCCACTTCTTTGGACCCTGAATACAGGATATAGGTGGAGGGAAGAGTATTTGGTGGCTCAGTTAAGCTTGAGGAAAATGCCCTGGAATAACATGATTTTAATTCACATGTTAGCTTCCTAATCTGGAATCAGATATAGGCTCTAACTGAGCTTGAGCCTACTGCTAGACTGTGGCATGGTGACTCCCTCCAACCATCAGTCCTTCTTCTTAGCTTGCCAGTTATTCCTGGACCATCGTATATATTTGATGGTTATCAGCCTCAGGTTGGTGGGGTAGGGCAAGCTGAGAGGCCTTCCTTTCCCTGCTTGAGTAGTGTATGATTTTTGTAAGGTTCTCTTAAAGGCTAACGTTCCCAACCCAACCATGGTTCAGCCCCAGAGGTAAGGGGCTGTTGAGAATGCTGTAGGAAAATAAAAGAGCCAGGAATTAGCTTTCTAGCTGTTCTGTCTCATGCCTTTCCCCTGTCCTTTATAATTGTCATTCAGCTTCTGTAAGGAGTGCCCTCCTCCCCTTTAAAGAGGGGTACAGCCCCTTGATCAGTTCCCCCCAAACATTCTCATAAAAGCCATTATACAAAACGTGGCTCAATCCTTTGGACCCTTCCCATGCAGATTGGCCTGAATGTCATGACAGTGAGGGAGTGCAGCTAGCCAGGAGACCCATAAGCATTAGCGATAAGGCAACGGGAAAACAAGAGTTTCTCTCCATGCTGTGGCAGCCACCCCTGATGAGATTCACAGCCAATTAGGTCTTTTTTGTCAGAGCCTCTTCCATACCCTGTCTGTGGAATAAACACATTTCCATGTTAAAAAAAAGAGAGAGAGAGAAAAAGAAAATTCATTTATTAAACACCTACCTTTTTCCTGGCCCAGTGCTAATCAATTTGCAAATATTATCTCATTTGACCTCCACAAGAAGGCTGTGACGTAACTTGTGTTGTCCTTCCCCTTTTCCTAATTGAGTGAACAGGTAGACAGAGAGTAAATGATTTTGCTAGGGTCACAAAGATAGTAAGTATCTGTGGTTGAATTTGAACTCAGGCCTTTCTGAGTCCAAGCTCTGTGGTCTATCTATTGAGCCCCTAACCCTAAACCCAAACCTAACCCGAACCCTAACCCTAACACTAAACTCAATCCTTTCTAGCCCTTTCCTTTCTAACCTTAACCATAACCCTAACCCCAATCCTATCATTACATTCTAACCCTAATGATTCCTTTTTAATCCTTTCTAATCCTTACGATTCGTCATGATTCCTTTCTATGATTCCTTATGATTCCTTTGTCACCCTAACTCTAACCCTAACCCTAACCATAACATTATTGCTTAAGAGATATTTGTTGGTGTATTTTAGGGATCCTGCCAAACAAAATGTCTCTTGTGAAATATGATTGTGTTTAAAATTTTGACTTCCTTCTTACAGGTGCCACTGCACCGATTCCACCAATCCCTGGTAAGTCTGGTTCCTTTTGCACTCAGCACCAAGGCTTTGTACTTGAGGAAATCCTGCTTTCTTTACTAAGAGGTCCAGGATGATAATGCTTTTTTCTCCTGCTGGATGTCCATCCCATGAGCTGAGATCATGTTTAGAACTCCCAGTTATAGCCCCAAAATATCTGATCCACCTGACTAATCCTACTGGAAAGTTTCAACATTCGTGGTCTCTTGATGTATTGCTATTGACTGACCTTCTTTATTGCTGCAGTGTTTTGAATTATTGTTTTTCATTATAATTCTACAAGTTTTAAAAATATTGCCAAACACATAGCTTCTTTCTGAAGTTCTATAATATGTAATTTAATTCTTTTGGAGGCATGCAGAGTCAAGTGACTTTAGCTGAGTATTGTACAGCTAATAAAGGTCTAAAGCAGGATTTGAACTCAGGTCCTCCTCATTCCAGGACAGGAGCTCTAATCACTGTGTCACCTACTGCCTCTTTACTTTAATTTTAAATTACCAGGTTATAGACAAGTACTTGTTCCCCTCACTCTCATATGGATCACATTTAAGCCCTTTTTTCTGAAACATAGTAAGTGTAGGTGCTGTTCTTGTTTCTTCTTTTTCTTATGCCTATGGTTTTCCATATAGTGACTCTTGAAATGTTTTAGATTCTTCATTTTTATTTTTGGTGAGGCAATTGGGGTTAAGCGAGTTGGTCAGGGTCACACAGCTAGTAAGTGTCAAGTGTCTTAGACCAGATTTCGACCCATGTCTTCCTGACTGCAGGGCAAGTGCACTTTCCACTGTGCCATGTAGCTGCCCCTAAGATGAAGATTCTGAAACACAGTGTCAGCTACATGGGCCAAGATTCCCCATGTTTCTTTACCTGCTGAGGAGGCCTTTTGGCTCCTGAATATCATCTGGAACAACTACCAATTGCCCCTTGTTCCACATTCCCTGGTGTCAACCATGGTATTATGTTCTAGAACCTGTTGTAGGACTGAGTTAGGACCATTTTGCTAGTATGACCTTGGCCGAGGAGGCAAAATATGGACTAAGGAATCCTTGGGTATCTTTCCTATCTTCCAATTTTGTTGTCCCTGGAGGTTCTAGATGCTTTCTGTTCTAAAACTATTATTAGGAATTATTCTGGTTGTGGCGCAGGTCATTGCCATTTCATGCCAAAGAAACAAGAGGTTCAAATTAGCTCTCAGATTTTATATGTCTTTCCAGAGAATGGTATTTCATCTTTTTCAGGAGGAAAATAGTACTTTCTACTTACTCCTTAAATCTTTCTTTCTTTCTTTTTTTGCTTTATTTTCTTTTTGTCTTCTTCTACTCTTCTTCCTTCAATTTCTTTTATCCTTAATTTCCTCTTTTTTTTTTTTTTTACTATTTTCACTTCTCTCCTTTCTCCTGTGTTAGCTATTTCCTTCATAGACTAACCGGAACTTTTTTTAAAGTTTTGGTCATATACCTAAGTTGAAGGGTAGAGAGCAAAAAGGCATAATGATGAAGAAACGATCATTTTAATACCTGATTATTTTACATTGGGAAATTCCTGCCCATTAAGATGGTACAGGAGGCAGAGACACACTTAGAACTTTTGTAAATAAAAATTCCAGTGAGGTCTTCATAATATTATGTAGGATAAATCAGGAATTTTCTTTTTTTGCTAAGGCAGTTGGGTTGAAGTGACTTACACAAGGTCACACAGTTAGTAAGTGTCAATGTCTGAGGTTGGATTTCATCTCAGGTCCTCCTGACTTCAAGGCCAAAGCTGTATCCTTCATGCCATGTAGACGCCCCTTAAATCAGGGAATTTTAAGCTTCCCATGTAAGCAGTCTGCTGAGCTTCAGACTAGGGAGTAACAATGGAAGGAGTAATATCTTTTGTGGATGAGATAGCCTTTTGGTATCCTTTTCATTGTGTTACTTTCACACTAAGACACCCCTAAAGGAGAGTCCCCACCTCAGCAATCTCAGCCCCTTCTGAGCTTTGAGGGAAGTCTCTAAAAGCCCTGAGATTTCATTCCTGAGGAAGGACACTGAAATGAAATTGTTCTCTACCTCTCTCTCCCTTGGATTAGATTCTGGTCTGGCCTTGGTACTGGTGAACGGAAGAGACAGATGCCGGGGTCGAGTGGAAGTCAGATACCAAGGATCCTGGGGCACTGTTTGTGATGATGACTGGGATGTGACTGATGGCAACGTTGTGTGCAGGCAGCTGGGTTGTGGATATGCTCTGTCAGCTCCAGGAAGGGCCCGTTTTGGTCAGGGCACTGGCAGAATTCTCCTGGATAACATGCGGTGTTCCGGGTCTGAATCCTATCTGTGGTCCTGTCCCCACAATGGGTGGCTGATCCACAACTGTGACCACAGTGAGGATGCCAGTGTCATCTGCTCAGGTATTGTCTCTCTGGCAAAGTCCTGCTGCTTCTTTTCTGCAAGGGCTCCTATGTTATAGGAGCAGGCTCCTTTTCACCTTCCTATTAATATTCATGCAATGAACTGAGACTCATATTAAGAATTCTTCTGTTAGATACATCCCCCAAGTACTTGTTCAGTCTGACAGACCCTTCCTGACCCCTTGCATGGAACTTGTGTTCTTACCTTGTCCTAGCAACACTGTTAATATATATCTTCTATTGCTTCAAATTAGAGCTTATTCTTATGTTTCTCTCTAATGATTTCCCTAAAGTTTTTTTCTGGCAATGTCACTTCCTGTTCAATACTTCCATTTGGTGGAAGAGAAGGGAAAGAAAACACATTTAATTTTTTTTTCCTTTGAGGCAGTTAGGGGTTAAGTGACTTGTCCAGAGTCATACAACTAGTCAGGGTTATTTGTCTGAGGCCGCATTTGAGCTCAGGTCCTTCTGACTCCAGGGCCAGTGCTCTATCCACTGTGCAATCTAGCTGCCCCAAGAAAACACATTGTTGGACTTCCACTTCCAGGAGCCAAGGTAGTGGAGTAAGAGGTGAGTCTCTCTTACTCTCCCTCATTAATCCCTGAAACCACTGAAAATATCACCCAGGAAAAACCGTGGAACAGCTGAACCAGAAGAAAGATGGGGTACAGCAGTCCAGTAGCCCAGGTAGCTTGAGGAATTAACTGGGAAGTGTCTTCTTGCCCTGGGGGAAGGGGAGCAGTACAGAATGGGAGGCATCCCAGCAAGCTAGCAGAAAGCCCCAACTCAGCATAGTAGGAGGAGATCCTGAAGCCCAGGTGGTAGAGCAGGAAAACACGGGAAACCTGTGGAAACCAGCTCAGAAAACCACCAGGTGCCTTGGGCATTCTACAGTAGCTGGCTCTCCTAGGGCCTCAGCACAACTAAGGGAAGCATCACTCCAAAGGCCCCACCCAGGTGGATAAACACCCTACAATACCCAACTGAAAAGAGCTGAAGAAAGCCTGGGTGAGTAGCAAATCTCCAGGAGCCACCCTACCCAATTCTACTCCTGGAGTTCCAGTTTTGCTGTTTCCAGCCCAGCACCAGGTAAGCGGCCAGAATCCTACAGCCTGCACCTGCCAACATTGCAGGCCCCAGCCACAAAGCCAGACCAGGCCGCTAGGCTCCCAACACAAGAAGCTTGGGTCAGTTCCCTCTGCTCCCCAGCAGGAGAGCCCAGTCTCTTTAAAGGCCAGGAGATAAGGAAACACCTTGAGCAAAAGGAAACATACAACAGATTCTTATCATGGGAAGAGTGAAGATCAAGGCAGAGATTCAAAAGAGGACAACATTGTGAACAAACCCACATCTGGAACTGGTGTGAAGCCCAAAAAGTCTTCTCAGAAGGCTCAAGAAGGATTTTAAAAGTGAAATGAGAGAGGTAGAAGAAAAATGGGAAAAGAAATGTGAGGTATGCAAGAGGGAGTGAATAGTTTGGAAAAGGAAGGACAAAAATGAAGTGTATAAAACAAGTGCTTAAAAAATACCATTGGCCAACTGGAAAAAAGTACACTGAAGAAAACAAGTTCCTAAAAATACAATTGGCCAAATGGGGAAGGAGATACAAAAATCTAACAGAAGAAAACAATATGTTAAAAATTAGAATTGAGCAAATGGAAGCCAATGACTGTATGAAAGAGTACGAATGAGTCAAACAAGAAGCAAAAGAATGAAAAAAATAGATGAAAATGTAAAATATCTCATTGATAAAACAACTGACCGAGAAAATTGATGCAGGAGAGAAATTAAAAATTATTGGTCTAGCTGAAAATCACGAGGAAAACAAGAGCCTGGACAGTATCTTTCAGAAAGTCATAAAGGAAAGCTGCCCTGAGGTCCTAGACCCAGAGGGTAAAACAGCCATAGAAAGATTCCACCGATCACCTCCTGAAAAACATCCCCAATTGAAAACACCAATGAATATAGTAGCCAAATTCCAAAATTACCAGGTCAAAGAGAAAATACTGCAAGCAGCTGGAGAGAAAGAATTTAAATATCCTGAGACTACAGTCAGGATTTCACAGGTCCTTGCACCTTCTATATTACAAGACCGTAGGCATGGAATATGATACTCCCTAAGGCAAAGGAACTTGGATTACAACTGAGGATGAATGACCCAGCAAAAATGAGCATGATCTTTCAGGGGAGGAGATGGATGTTCAATGAAAGAGGGGACTTCCATACCTCTCTGATAAAAAGACCAGAGCTCAACAGAAAATTTGATCTTCAAATACAAAACTCAAGAGAGATATGAAAAGACACAACTCATCCAGATGGTGATCTGGATGCTTCAGCATCGGCTTCTGATTCAACTGCACACATAAGTTTGCGTGATGATCCTCCCCAACAAAGAAGAGGTCGAACATGAGAGGAGGATGTCCATCACCACGTGCATGGAGGGCAGAAGCCTGAACACACCAATGCCCTGAGGTTTGGCTCACCAACCAGCAGTGATGACATGACCCTCAGAAGTCCAGCATGGAGAACTGCAGTGCTGACCTGCTCCCCTGTGAGAGACTGCCCACTGAATAAAAGAATGACTGAGAATCTGTTGGCCAACTTGTCAGAGCATGAGCAAGGAGCCATCCTCAGTGTCCCTGCTGCTCAGAACTCTGAAGATTTCCACATGTTTCCCAGGCTATTATGTTATTTCCAGGGACGCCCTCACCTGGAAGAGATTGTGTGCAATGAAAACATGCGACGATCCCAACTGTGGATGCTCTTCGACAAGTTCTGAAGTGTGCTGGTGGAGACCAACCATGAAGAACCAGTTATGTCAGTTTTCCGGTCACTTCTAAAATGAATGGGAAATTAGCCCCCTGCTCAGAGAAGCACTCACCCTAGAGAATTCTTCAAGCCACCAAGGGCCAGAGGGGATGGCGAGGCATTCCACAAAAGGAGTGGCTATCTTGGGACCACGGTTGGTTTCCTCTCAGGCTCTAAGTTGGTCCTTCCTCGTATTCCTCCTTCTGTGAAGCAGAATGACTGTGTGCATTCCTAAGGAGTACAGTATTAGTGAGACGAAAAGGCCCACTTCTTTAGACCCTGAATACAGGATATAGGTGGAGGGAAGAGTATTTGGTGGCTCAGTTAAGCTTGAGGAAAATGCCCTGGAATAACATGATTTTAATTCACATGTTAGCTTCCTAATCTGGAATCAGGTATAGGCTCTAACTCAGTTTGAGCCTACTGCTAGACTGTGGCATGGTGACTCCCTCCAACCATCAGCCCTTTTTCTTAGCTTGCCAGTTATTCCTGGACCATCGTATATATTTGATGGTTATCAGCCTCGGGTTGGTGGGGTAGGGCAAGCTGAGAGGCCTTCCTTTCCCTGCTTGAGTAGTGTATGATTTTTGTAAGGTTCTCTTAAAGGCTAACGTTCCCAACCCAACCATGGTTCAGTCCCAGAGCTAAGGGGCTGTTGAGAATGCTGTAGGAAAATAAAAGAGCCAGGAATTAGCTTTCTAGCTGTTCTGTCTCATGCCTTTCCCCTGTCCTTTATAATTGTCATTCAGCTTCTGTAAGGAGTGCCCTCCCCCTTTAAAGAGGGGTACAGCCCCTTGATTAGCGCTCCCATTTTCATAAAAGCCATTGTACAAAACGTGGCTCAATCCTTTGGACCCTTCCCATGCAGATTGGCCTGAATGCCTTGAAAGTGAGGGCTGCAGCTAGCCAGAGACCCATAAGGTTTAGCGATAAGGCAACGGGAAAACAAGAGTTTCTCTCCATGCTGTGGCAGCCACCCCTGATGAGATTCACAGCCAATTAGGTCCTTTTTGTCAGAGCCTCTTCCATACCCTGTCTGTGGAATAAGCACATTTCCATGTAAAAAAAAAAAGAGAGAGAAAAAAGGAAAATTCATGTATTAAACACCTACCTTTTTCCTGGCCCAGTGCTGATCAGTTTGCAAATATTATTTCATTTGACCTCCACAAGAAGGCTGTGAAGTAACTTGTATTGTCGTTCCCCTTTTCCTAATGGAGGAAACAGGTAGACAGAGAGTAAATGACTTTGCTAGGGTCACAAACCTAGTAACTATTGGTGGTTGAGTTTCCACTGAGGCCTTCCTGACTCCAAGCTCTGTGGTCTATCTGTTGAGCCCCTAAACCTTAAACCCAAACCTAACACGAACCCTAACCCTCAAACTAACCTCAATCTTTCTAACCCTTTTGAATTGCTAGAGAGTATATTTTTTTTGATTTTTCTTGTGAGGCAATTGGGGTTAAATGACTTGCCCAGGGTCACACAGCCAGTCAGGTTTCTCAGTCTGAGGCCTCATTTGAACTCAGGTCCTTTGGACTCCAGGGCCCGTGTTGTATTTACTGTGCCATCTAGCTGCTGCCGAAAATACATTTCTGAAGCACCTACCGTGTTCCAGGCCCTGTGCTAATCAATTTACAATATTATCTCATTTGAGGTGGACAACAATGCAGTGAAATAACATGTATTGTCATTGCCCTTTTCCTAGTTAAGGAAAAAGTGAGACAGTGTATAAATGAGTTTCCTAGGGTCACAAAGCTAGTAACTCTCTGTGTTTGGATTTCAACTGTGGTCTTTCTGGCTCCAAGCACAGTGGCCTACCTATTGAGCCCCTAAAGCCTAACCCTAACCCTAATCTGAACCCTAATCCCAATCCTTTCTAACACTTTCCTTTCTAACCCTATCCCTAACCCCCTGATTCCTTTCTAACCCTAATGATTTCTTTCTATGATTCCTTATGATTCCTTTCTAATCCTAACCCTAAAATAACCCTAACCCTAACCCTAATTGTGCTCTAAACCTAACCCTTACCCTAACCCTAACCATAACCCTAACTCTAACCCTAATTGCTCTCTAATCCTAAACCTAACCTTAACCCTAACCCTAACACTTACACTAATTGCTTAAGAGATAGTTGTTGGTGGATTTTAGGCATCCTGCCAAACAAAATGTCTCCTGTGAAATGTGATTGTGTCTAAATTTTTCACTTCCCTCTTACAGGTGCCACTGCACCGATTCCACCAAACCCTGGTAAGTCTGGTTTCTTTTGCACTCAGCACCAAGGCTTTCTACTTGAGGAAATCCTGCTTTCTTTACTAAGTGGTCTAGGACGATAATGCTTTTTTCTGCTGTTGTGATGTCCATCCCATGAGCTGAGATCATGTTTAGAAGTCCCAGTGATAGCCCCAAAGTATGTGATCCATCTGACTGGTCCTTCTGGAAAGTTCCATCAGTACTGGTCTCTTGATCTAATGCTGTTGACTAAGCTTCTTTATTACTTCATTGTTTTGAATCAGAGATTGTCATTATAATTCTTTTAGTTGTAAAAATATTACCAAACAATAAATTTCTTTCTAAAGTTCTGTCATATGCAATTTAATTCTTTTGTAGGCAAGCCAGATCAAATGACTTTTGTTCAAGGTCATCCAGCTAATAAGGGTCTAAAGTAGTATTTGAACTCAGGTCCTGCTGATTGCAGGAGAAGTGATCTGATGACGGTGTTACCAACTGCCTCTTAAATTCAATTTTAAATTCTCATGTTATAGACATGTACTTGTTTCTGTCACTCTCCTGTGAATCACATATAAGCCCCTTTCTCTGAAATGTTTTAAGTGTAGGTGGCATCCTTGGTTTTTTTGTTTGTTTGTTTGTACGTATAGTGACTCTTGAATTGTTGTCGATCCTATTTTCTTTATTTTCTGGTGAGGCAATTGGGGTTAAATGAGTTGCCCAGGGTCACACAGCTAGTCAGGGTTATCTGTCTGAGGCCTCATTTGAAGTGAGCTCCTTTGGACTCCATGGCCAGTGTTCTATTTACTGTGCCATCTAGCTGCTTCACAAAAATACATGTATTAAGCACCTACACTGTTCCAGGCCCTGTGCTAATCAATTCACAATATTATCTCATTTGACCTGGACAACAATGCAGTGAAATAACTTTTATTGTCATTCCCCTTTTCCTATTGAAGAAAAAAGTGAGGCAGAGAGTAAAGGAGTTTCCTAGGGTCACAAAGCGAGTAACTCTCTGTGGCTGGATTTCAACTCTGGTCTTTCTGGCTCCAAGCACAGTGGCCTGTGTATTGTGCTCCTAAACCCTAACCTTAACCCTAACCCTAACCCTAACCTAAACACTAACCCCAATCCTTTCTAACCCTTTCCTTTCTAACCTTAGCCATAACACTAACCCTAATACTATTATTACTTTCTAACCCTAATGATTCCTTTTTAATCATTTCTAACCCTAATGATTTGTCACGATTCCTTTCTATGATTCCTTATGATTCCTTTCCCACCCTAACCCTAACCCCAACCATAACCCTAACCCTAACCCTAACCATCACCCTAACACTAATTGCTTAAGAGATACTTGCTGGTGGATTTAAGGCATGCTGCCAAACAAAATGTCTCTTGTGAAATATGTTTGTGTTTCAACTTTGGACTTCCTTCTTACAGGTGCCCCTGCACCGATTCCACCAAACCCTGGTAAGTCTGGTTTCTTTTGCACTCAGCACCAAGGCTTTCTACTTGAGGAAATCCTGCTTTCTTTACTAAGTGGTCCAGGATGATAATGAGTTTTTTTTCCTGCTGAGATGTCCATCCCATGAGCTGAGATCATGTTTAGAACTCCCAGTGATAGCCCCTAAGTATGTGATCCATCTGACTGGCCCTTCTGGAAAGTTTCATCAGTCCTGGTCTCTTGATAGAATGCTATTGACTGAACTTGTGTATTGCTGCATTGTTTTGAATTAGAGTTTGTCATTGTAATTCTTTCAGTTTTAAAAATATTACGAAACAAAAAACTTCTTTCTAAAGTTCTATCATATGCAATTTAATTCTTTTGGAGGCAAGCCAGATCAAATGACTTTTGTTCAAGGTCATCCACCTAATAAGGGTCTAAAGTAGTATTTGAACTCAGGTCCTCCTGATTGCAGGACAAGTGTTCTGATGACGGTGTCATCAACTGCCTCTTAAATTCAATTTTAAATTCTCTGGTTATAGACAAGTACTTGTTTCTCTCACTCTCCTGTGAATCACATATAAGCCACTTTCTCTGAAACGTTTTAAGGCTATGTGGCATCCTTGGTTTTTTTTTGTTTGTTTGTACATATAGTGACTCTTGAATTGTTGTCGATCCTATTTTCTTTATTTTCTGGTGAGGCAGTTGGGGTTAAATGAGTTGCCCAGGGTCACACAGCTAGTCCCGGCTATCTGTCTGAGCCCTCACTTTAACTGAAGGCCATTGAACTCCAGGGCCAGCGCTCTATTTACTGTGCCAACTAAGTGCTTCACAAAAATACATTGATTAAGCACCTATCCTGTTCCAGGCCCTGTGCTAATCAATTTACAATAATATCTCATTTGATCTACACAACAATGCAGGGAAATAGCTTTTATTGTCATTCCCCTTTTCCTAGTTAAGAAAAAGTGAGACAGAGAGTAAAGGAGTTTCCTAGGGTCACAAAGAGAGTAACTATCTGTGTTTGGATTTCACCTCTGGTCTTTGTGGCTTCAGGCACAGTGGCCTATCTATTCAGCCCACAACCCTAAACCTAACCCTAACCCTAATCAGAATCCTTTCTAACACTTTCCTTTCTAAGCCTAACCCTAACCGTATGATTGCTTTCTACCCTTAAAGATTGCTTTGTGAACCTTTCTAACCATTATGGTTCGTTTCTATGATTGATTATGATTCCTTTCTAACCCTAACCCTAACCCATACCCTAACTCTTACCCTAACCCTAACCCTAACCTTAAAGCTAACCTTAATTGCACTCTAAGCCTAACCCTAACACTAACCTTAAACCTAACCACAAACGTAACCCTAACCCTAACGCTAATTTTACTCTAACCCTAACCCTAACCCTAACACTAATTGCTTGAGAGATAGTTTTTGATGGCTTTTAGGCATGCTGCCAAACAAAATGTCTCTTGTGAAATATGACTGTGTTTCAACTCTGGACTTCCTTCTTACAGGTGCCCCTGCACCGATTCCACCAAACCCGGGTAAGTCTGGTTTCTTTTGCACTCAGCACCAAGGCTTTCTACTTGAGGAAATCCTGCTTTTTCTACTAAGTGGTCCAGGATGATAATGCTTTTTTCTCCTGCTGAGATGTCTATCCCATGAGCTGAGATCATGTTTAGAACTCCCAGTGATAGCCCCTAAGTATGTGATCCATCTGACTGGTCCTTCTGGAAAGTTTCATCAGTCCTGGTCTCTTGATAGAATGCTATTGACTGAACTTGTGTATTGCTGCATTGTTTTGAATTAGAGCTTGTCATTATAATTCTTTTAGTTTGAAAAAGATTACCAAACAAAAAACTTCTTTCCAAAGTTCTGTCATATGCAATTTAATTCTTTTGGAGGCAAGCCAGATCAAATGACTTTTGTTCAAGGTCATCCAGCTAATAAAAGTCTAAAGTAGTATTTGAACTCAGGTCCTCCTGATTGCAGGATAAGTGATCTGATGACAGTGTCACCAACTGCCTCTTAAATTCAATTTTAAATTCTCAGGTTATAGACAAGTACTTGTTTCTCTCACTCTCTTGTGAATCACATATAAGCCCCTTTCTCTGAAATGTTTTAAGGCTATGTGGCATCCTTGGTTTTTTTTTTTTTTTTGAACGTATAGTGACTCTTGAATTGTTGTAGATCCTATTTTTTTTTTTTCTGGTGAGGGTACTGGATTAAGTAACTTGCCCAGGATCACACAGCTAGTCAGGTTTCTCTGTCTGAGGCCTCATTTGAACTCAGGTCCTTTGGACTCCAGGGCCAGTGCTCTATTTGCTTTCTTTCTTCATTTCCTTTATCCTTAATTTCCTCTTTTTTTTTTTTTTTTGCTATTTTCATTTCTGTCCTTTCTGCTGTGTTAGATATTTCCTTCATAGACTAACGAGATCATTTTTGAAAATTTTGGTCATATACCTAAGTTGAAGGGTAGAGAACAAAAAGGCACAATGATGAACAAACGATCATTTTAATACCTGATTATTTTATACTGGGAAATTCCTACCCATTAAGATGGTACGGGAGGCAGAGATGCACTTATACCTTTTGTAAATAAAAATTCCAGTGAGGTCTTCATAATATTATGTTGGATAAATGAGGAATTTTTTGTTTTTTTGCTTAGGCAGTTGGGGTTAGGTGACTTACACAAGGTCACACAGTTAGTAAGTGTTAATGTCTGAGGTTGGATTTCATCTCAGGTCCTCCTGACTTTAAGGCCAAAGCTGTCTCCTTTATGCTATGCAGACACCCCTTAAATCACGGAATTTTAAGCTTCCCATGTATATAGTGTACTGAGCTTCAGACTAGGGAGTAACAAAGGAAGGAGTAATACCTTTTGTGAATGGTATAGCCTTTTGGTATCCTTTTCATTGTGTTACTTTCACACTAAGACACCCCTAAAGGAGAGTCCCCACCTCAGCAATCTCAGCCCCTTCTGAGCTTAGAGGGAAGTCTCTAAAAGCCCTGAGATTTCATTCCTGAGGAAGGACACTGAAGTGAAATTGCTCTCTCCCCTTGTCTCCCTTGGATTAGATTCTGGTCTGGCCTTGGTACTGGTGAACGGAGGAGACAGATGCCGGGGTCGAGTGGAAGTCAGATACCAAGGATTCTGGGGCACCGTTTGTGATGATGACTGGGATATGATTGATGGCAACGTTGTGTGCAGGCAGCTGGGTTGTGGATATGCTCTGTCAGCTCCAGGAAGGGCCCGCTTTGGTCAGGGCACTGGCAGAATTCTCCTGGATAACGTGTGGTGTTCCGGGTCTGAATTCTATCTGTGGTCCTGTCGCCACAATGGGTGGCTGATCCACAACTGTCGGCACAGTGAGGATGCCAGTGTCATCTGCTCAGGTATTGTCTCTCTGGCAAAGTCCTGCTGCTTCTTTTCTGCAAGGGCTCCTATGTTATAGGAGCAGGCTCCTTTTCACCTTCCTATTAATATTCATGCAATGAACTGAGGCTCATATTAAGAATTCTTCTGTTAGATACATCCCCCAAGTACTTGTTCAGTCTGACAGACCCTTCCTGACCCCTTGCATGGAACTTGTGTTCTTACCTTGTCCTAGCAACACTGTTAATATATATCTTCTATTGCTTTAAATTAGAGCTTATTCTTATGTTTCTTTCTAATGATTTCCCTAAAGTTTTTTTCTGGCAATGTCACTTCCTGTTCAATACCTCCATTTGGTGGAAGAGAAGGGAAAGAAAACACATTTAATTTTCTTTCCTTTGAGGCAGTTAGGGTTAAGTGACTTGTCCAGAGTCATACAGCTAGTCAGGGTTATTTGTCTGAGGCCGCATTTGAGCTCAGGTCCTTCTGACTCCAGGGCCAGTGCTCTATCCACTGTGCAATCTAGCTGCCCCAAGAAAACACATTGTTGGACTTCCACTTCCAGGAGCCAAGATAGTGGAGTAAGAGGTGAGTCTCTCTTACTCTCCCTTATTAACCCCTGAAACCACCGAAAATATCACCCCAGGAAAAACTGTGGAACAGCTGAACCAGAAGAAAGATGGGGTACAGCAGTCCAGTAGCCCAGGTAGCTTGAGGGATTAACTGGGAAGTGTCTTCTTGCCCTGGGGGAAGGGGAGCAGTATAGAATGGGAGGCATCCCAGCAAGCTAGCAGAAAGCCCACCTCAGCATAGTTGGAGGAGATCCTGAAGCCCAGGTAGTAGAGCAGGAAAACACGGGGAACCTGTGGAAACCAGCTCAGAAAACCACCAGGTGCCTTGGGCATTCTACAGTAGCTGGCTCTCCTAGGGCCTCAGCACAACTAAGGGAAGCATCACTCCAAAGGGCCCCACCCAGGTGGATAAACACCCTACAATACCCAACTGAAAAGAGCTGAAGAAAGCCTGGGTGAGTAGCAAATCTCCAGGAGCCACCCTACCCAATTCTACTCCTGGAGTTCCAGTTTTGCTGTTTCCAGCCCAGCACCAGGTAAGCGGCCAGAATCCTACAGCCTGCACCTGCCAACATTGCAGGCCCCAGGCCACAAAGCCAGCGACCAGGCCGCTAGGCTCCCAACACAAGAAGCTTGGGTCAGTTCCCTCTGCTCCCCAGCAGGAGAGCCCAGTCTCTTTAAAGGCCAGGAGATAAGGAAACACCTTGAGCAAAAGGAAACATACAACAGATTCTTATCATGGGAAGAGTGAAGATCAAGGCAGAGATTCAAAAGAGGACAACATTGTGAACAAACCCACATCTGGAACTGGTGTGAAGCCCAAAAAGTCTTCTCAGAAGAGCTCAAGAAGGATTTTAAAAGTGAAATGAGAGAGGTAGAAGAAAAATGGGAAAAGAAATGTGAGGTATGCAAGAGGGAGTGAATAGTTTGGAAAAGGAAGGACAAAAATGAAATGTATAAAACAAGTGCTTAAAAAATACCATTGGCCAACTGAAAAAAAGTACACTGAAGAAAACAAGTTCCTAAAAATACAATTGGCCAAATGGGGAAGGAGATACAAAAATCTAACAGAAGAAAACAATATGTTAAAAATTAGAATTGAGCAAATGGAAGCCAATGACTGTATGAAAGAGTACGAATGAGTCAAACAAGAAGCAAAAGAATGAAAAAAATAGATGAAAATGTAAAATATCTCATTGGTAAAACAACTGACCGGGAAAATTGATCGAGGAGAGACAATTTAAAATTTATTGGTCTAGCTGAAAATCACGAGGAAAACAAGAGCCTGGACAGTATCTTTCAGAAAGTCATAAAGGAAAGCTGCCCTGAGGTCCTAGACCCAGAGGGTAAAACAGCCATAGAAAGATTCCACCGATCACCTCCTGAAAAACATCCCCAATTGAAAACACCAATGAATATAGTAGCCAAATTCCAAAATTACCAGGTCAAAGAGAAAATACTGCAAGCAGCTGGAGAGAAAGAATTTAAATATCCTGAGACTACAGTCAGGATTTCACAGGTCCTTGCACCTTCTATATTACAAGACCGTAGGGCATGGAATATGATACTCCCTAAGGCAAAGGAACTTGGATTACAACTGAGGATGAATGACCCAGCAAAAATGAGCATGATCTTTCAGGGGAGGAGATGGATGTTCAATGAAAGAGGGGACTTCCATACCTCTCTGATAAAAAGACCAGAGCTCAACAGAAAATTTGATCTTCAAATACAAAACTCAAGAGAGATATGAAAAGACACAACTCATCCAGATGGTGATCTGGATGCTTCAGCATCGGCTTCTGATTCAACTGCACACATAAGTTTGCGTGATGATCCTCCCCAACAAAGAAGAGGGTCGAACATGAGAGGAGGATGTCCATCACCACGTGCATGGAGGGCAGAAGCCTGAACACACCCAATGCCCTGAGGTTTGGCTCACCAACCAGCAGTGATGACATGACCCTCAGAAGTCCCAGCATGGAGAACTGCAGTGCTGACCTGCTCCCCTGTGGAGACTGCCCACTGAATAAAAGAATGACTGAGAATCTGTTGGCCAACTTGTCAGAGCATGAGCAAGGAGCCATCCTCAGTGTCCCTGCTGCTCAGAACTCTGAAGATTTCCACATGTTTCCCAGGCTATTATGTTATTTCCAGGGACGCCCTCACCTGGAAGAGATTGTGTGCAATGAAAACATGCGACGATCCCAACTGTGGATGCTCTTCGACAAGTTCTGAAGTGTGCTGGTGGAGACCAACCATGAAGAACCAGTTATGTCAGTTTTCCGGTCACTTCTAAAATGAATGGGAAATTAGCCCCCTGCTCAGAGAAGCACTCACCCTAGAGAATTCTTCAAGCCACCAAGGGCCAGAGGGGATGGCGAGGCATTCCACAAAAGGAGTGGCTATCTTGGGACCACGGTTGGTTTCCTCTCAGGCTCTAAGTTGGTCCTTCCTCGTATTCCTCCTTCTGTGAAGCAGAATGACTGTGTGCATTCCTAAGGAGTACAGTATTAGTGAGACGAAAAGGCCCACTTCTTTAGACCCTGAATACAGGATATAGGTGGAGGGAAGAGTATTTGGTGGCTCAGTTAAGCTTGAGGAAAATGCCCTGGAATAACATGATTTTAATTCACATGTTAGCTTCCTAATCTGGAATCAGGTATAGGCTCTAACTCAGTTTGAGCCTACTGCTAGACTGTGGCATGGTGACTCCCTCCAACCATCAGCCCTTTTTCTTAGCTTGCCAGTTATTCCTGGACCATCGTATATATTTGATGGTTATCAGCCTCGGGTTGGTGGGGTAGGGCAAGCTGAGAGGCCTTCCTTTCCCTGCTTGAGTAGTGTATGATTTTTGTAAGGTTCCCTTAAAGGCTAACGTTCCCAACCCAACCATGGTTCAGTCCCAGAGCTAAGGGGCTGTTGAGAATGCTGTAGGAAAATAAAAGAGCCAGGAATTAGCTTTCTAGCTGTTCTGTCTCATGCCTTTCCCCTGTCCTTTATAATTGTCATTCAGCTTCTGTAAGGAGTGCCCTCCTCCCCTTTAAAGAGGGGTACAGCCCCTTGATTAGCGCTCCCATTTTCATAAAAGCCATTGTACAAAACGTGGCTCAATCCTTTGGACCCTTCCCATGCAGATTGGCCTGAATGCCTTGAAAGTGAGGGGCTGCAGCTAGCCAGAGACCCATAAGGTTTAGCGATAAGGCAACGGGAAAACAAGAGTTTCTCTCCATGCTGTGGCAGCCACCCCTGATGAGATTCACAGCCAATTAGGTCCTTTTTGTCAGAGCCTCTTCCATACCCTGTCTGTGGAATAAGCACATTTCCATGTAAAAAAAAAAAGAGAGAGAAAAAAGGAAAATTCATGTATTAAACACCTACCTTTTTCCTGGCCCAGTGCTGATCAGTTTGCAAATATTATTTCATTTGACCTCCACAAGAAGGCTGTGAAGTAACTTGTATTGTCGTTCCCCTTTTCCTAATGGAGGAAACAGGTAGACAGAGAGTAAATGACTTTGCTAGGGTCACAAACCTAGTAACTATTGGTGGTTGAGTTTCCACTGAGGCCTTCCTGACTCCAAGCTCTGTGGTCTATCTGTTGAGCCCCTAAACCTTAAACCCAAACCTAACACGAACCCTAACCCTCAAACTAACCTCAATCTTTCTAACCCTTTTGAATTGCTAGAGAGTATATTTTTTTTGATTTTTCTTGTGAGGCAATTGGGGTTAAATGACTTGCCCAGAGTCACACAGCTACTCAGGGTTATCTGTCTGAGGCCTCATTTGAACTCAAGTCCTTTGGACTCCAGGGCCAGTGTTCTATTTACTCTGCCATCTAGCTGCTTGCCGAAAATACATTTATTAAGCACCTACACTGTTGCAGGCCCTGTGCTAATCAATTTACAATAGTATCTCATTTGATCTGCACAACAATGCAGGGAAATAACCTTTATTGTCATTGCCCTTTTCCTAGTTAAGGAAAAAGTGAGACAGAGAATAAATGAGTTTCGCAGGGTCACAAAGCGAGTAACTATCTGTGGTTGGATTTCAACTGTGGTCTTTCTGGCTCCAAGCACAGTGGTCTACCTATTGAGCCCCTAAAGCCTAACCCTAACCCTAACCTGAACCCTAATCCCAATCCTTTCTAACACTTTCCTTTCTAACCCTATCCCTAACCCTATGATTCCTTTCTAACCCTAATGATTCCTTTCTATGATTCCTTATGATTCCTTTCTAATCCTAACCATAACCCTAACCCTAACCCTAATTGTGCTCTAAACCTAACCCTTACCCTAACCCTAACCATAACCCTAACTCTAACCCTAATTGCTCTCTAATCCTAAACCTAACCTTAACCCTAACCCTAACACTTACACTAATTGCTTAAGAGATAGTTGTTGGTGGATTTTAGGCATCCTGCCAAACAAAATGTCTCCTGTGAAATGTGATTGTGTCTAAATTTTTCACTTCCCTCTTACAGGTGCCACTGCACCGATTCCACCAAACCCTGGTAAGTCTGGTTTCTTTTGCACTCAGCACCAAGGCTTTCTACTTGAGGAAATCCTGCTTTCTTTACTAAGTGGTCTAGGACGATAATGCTTTTTTCTGCTGTTGTGATGTCCATCCCATGAGCTGAGATCATGTTTAGAAGTCCCAGTGATAGCCCCAAAGTATGTGATCCATCTGACTGGTCCTTCTGGAAAGTTCCATCAGTACTGGTCTCTTGATCTAATGCTGTTGACTAAGCTTCTTTATTACTTCATTGTTTTGAATCAGAGATTGTCATTATAATTCTTTTAGTTGTAAAAATATTACCAAACAATAAATTTCTTTCTAAAGTTCTGTCATATGCAATTTAATTCTTTTGTAGGCAAGCCAGATCAAATGACTTTTGTTCAAGGTCATCCAGCTAATAAGGGTCTAAAGTAGTATTTGAACTCAGGTCCTGCTGATTGCAGGAGAAGTGATCTGATGACGGTGTTACCAACTGCCTCTTAAATTCAATTTTAAATTCTCAGGTTATAGACACGTACTTGTTTCTCTCACTCTCGTGTGAATCACATATAAGCCCCTTTCTCTGAAATGTTTAAAGTGTAGGTGGCATCCTTGGTTTTTTTTTTGTTTGTTTGTACGTATAGTGACTCTTGAATTGTTGTTGATCCTATTTTCTTTATTTTCTGGTGAGGCAATTGGGGTTAAATGAGTTGCCCAGGGTCACACAGCTAGTCAGGGTTATCTGTCTGAGGCCTCATTTGAAGTGAGCTCCTTTGGACTCCATGGCCAGTGTTCTATTTACTGTGCCATCTAGCTGCTTCACAAAAATACATTTATGAAGCACCTACCCTGTTCCAGGCCCTGTGCTAATCAATTTACAATATTATCTCATTTGAGGTGGACAACAATGCAGTGAAATAACATGTATTGTCATTGCCCTTTTCCTAGTTAAGGAAAAAGTGAGACAGTGTGTAAATGAGTTTCCTAGGGTCACAAAGCTAGTAACTCTCTGTGTTTGGATTTCAACTCTGGTCTTTCTGGCTCCAAGCACAGTGGCCTACCTATTGAGCCCCTAAAGCCTAACCGTAACCCTAACCCTAACCCTAACCTAAACACTAACCCCAATCCTTTCTAACCCTTTCCTTTCTAACCTTAGCCATAACACTAACCCTAATACTATTATTACTTTCTAACCCTAATGATTCCTTTTTAATCATTTCTAACCCTAATGATTTGTCACGATTCCTTTCTATGATTCCTTATGATTCCTTTCCCACCCTAACCCTAACCCCAACCATAACCCTAACCCTAACCCTAACCATCACCCTAACACTAATTGCTAAAGAGATACTTGTTGGTGGATATTAGGCATGTTGCCAAACAAAATATCTCCTGTGAAATATGATTGTGTTTAACTTTGGACTTCATTCTTACAGGTGCCCCTGCACCGATTCCACCAAACCCTGGTAAGTCTGGTTTCTTTTGCACTCAGCACCAAGGCTTTCTACTTGAGGAAATCCTGCTTTCTTTACTAAGTGGTCCAGGATGATAATGAGTTTTTTTTCCTGCTGAGATGTCCATCCCATGAGCTGAGATCATGTTTAGAACTCCCAGTGATAGCCCCTAAGTATGTGATCCATCTGACTGGTCCTTCTGGAAAGTTCCATCAGTCCTGGTCTCTTGATAGAATGCTATTGACTGAACTTGTGTATTGCTGGATTGTTTTGAATTAGAGTTTGTCATTGTAATTCTTTCAGTTTTAAAAATATTACGAAACAAAAAACTTCTTTCTAAAGTTCTATCATATGCAATTTAATTCTTTTGGAGGCAAGCCAGATCAAATGACTTTTGTTCAAGGTCATCCACCTAATAAGGGTCTAAAGTAGTATTTGAACTCAGGTCCTCCTGATTGCAGGACAAGTGTTCTGATGACGGTGTCATCAACTGCCTCTTAAATTCAATTTTAAATTCTCTGGTTATAGACAAGTACTTGTTTCTCTCACTCTCGTGCAAATCACATGTAAGCCCCTTTCTCTGAAACGTTTTAAGGCTATGTGCATCCTTGGTTTTTTTTGTTTGTTTGTACATATAGTGACTCTTGAATTGTTGTCGATCCTATTTTCTTTATTTTCTGGTGAGGCAGTTGGGGTTAAATGAGTTGCCCAGGGTCACACAGCTAGTCCCGGCTATCTGTCTGAGCCCTCACTTTAACTGAAGGCCATTGAACTCCAGGGCCAGCGCTCTATTTACTGTGCCAACTAACTGCTTCACAAGAATACATTGATAAAGCACCTCCCCTGTTTCAGGCCCTGTGCTAATCAATTTACAATATTATCTCATTTGATCTACACAACAATGCAGGGAAATAGCTTTTATTGTCATTCCCTTTTCCTAGTTAAGAAAAAGTGAGACAGAGAGTAAAGGAGTTTCCTAGGGTCACAAAGAGAGTAACTATCTGTGTTTGGATTTCACCTCTGGTCTTTGTGGCTTCAGGCACAGTGGCCTATCTATTCAGCCCACAACCCTAAACCTAACCCTAACCCTAATCAGAATCCTTTCTAACACTTTCCTTTCTAAGCCTAACCCTAACCGTATGATTGCTTTCTACCCTTAAAGATTGCTTTGTGAACCTTTCTAACCATTATGGTTCGTTTCTATGATTGATTATGATTCCTTTCTAACCCTAACCCTAACCCATACCCTAACTCTTACCCTAACCCTAACCCTAACCTTAAAGCTAACCTTAATTGCACTCTAAGCCTAACCCTAACACTAACCTTAAACCTAACCACAAACGTAACCCTAACCCTAACGCTAATTTTACTCTAACCCTAACCCTAACCCTAACACTAATTGCTTGAGAGATAGTTTTTGATGGCTTTTAGGCATGCTGCCAAACAAAATGTCTCTTGTGAAATATGACTGTGTTTCAACTCTGGACTTCCTTCTTACAGGTGCCCCTGCACCGATTCCACCAAACCCGGGTAAGTCTGGTTTCTTTTGCACTCAGCACCAAGGCTTTCTACTTGAGGAAATCCTGCTTTTTCTACTAAGTGGTCCAGGATGATAATGCTTTTTTCTCCTGCTTGAGATGTCTATCCCATGAGCTGAGATCATGTTTAGAACTCCCAGTGATAGCCCCTAAGTATGTGATCCATCTGACTGGTCCTTCTGGAAAGTTTCATCAGTCCTGGTCTCTTGATAGAATGCTATTGACTGAACTTGTGTATTGCTGCATTGTTTTGAATTAGAGCTTGTCATTATAATTCTTTTAGTTTGAAAAAGATTACCAAACAAAAAACTTCTTTCCAAAGTTCTGTCATATGCAATTTAATTCTTTTGGAGGCAAGCCAGATCAAATGACTTTTGTTCAAGGTCATCCAGCTAATAAAAGTCTAAAGTAGTATTTGAACTCAGGTCCTCCTGATTGCAGGATAAGTGATCTGATGACAGTGTCACCAACTGCCTCTTAAATTCAATTTTAAATTCTCAGGTTATAGACACGTACTTGTTTCTCTCACTCTCTTGTGAATCACATATAAGCCCCTTTCTCTGAAATGTTTTAAGGCTATGTGGCATCCTTGGTTTTTTTTTTTTTTTTGAACGTATAGTGACTCTTGAATTGTTGTAGATCCTATTTTTTTTTTTTCTGGTGAGGGTACTGGATTAAGTAACTTGCCCAGGGTCACACAGCTAGTCAGGTTTCTCTGTCTGAGGCCTCATTTGAACTCAGGTCCTTTGGACTCCAGGGCCAGTGCTCTATTTGCTTTCTTTCTTCATTTCCTTTATCCTTAATTTCCTCTTTTTTTTTTTTTTTTGCTATTTTCATTTCTGTCCTTTCTGCTGTGTTAGATATTTCCTTCATAGACTAACGAGATCATTTTTGAAATTTTGGTCATATACCTAAGTTGAAGGGGTAGAGAACAAAAAGGCACAATGATGAACAAACGATCATTTTAATACCTGATTATTTTATACTGGGAAATTCCTACCCATTAAGATGGTACGGGAGGCAGAGATGCACTTATACCTTTTGTAAATAAAAATTCCAGTGAGGTCTTCATAATATTATGTTGGATAAATGAGGAATTTTTTGTTTTTTTGCTTAGGCAGTTGGGGTTAGGTGACTTACACAAGGTCACACAGTTAGTAAGTGTTAATGTCTGAGGTTGGATTTCATCTCAGGTCCTCCTGACTTAAGGCCAAAGCTGTCTCCTTTATGCTATGCAGACACCCCTTAAATCACGGAATTTTAAGCTTCCCATGTATATAGTGTACTGAGCTTCAGACTAGGGAGTAACAAAGGAAGGAGTAATACCTTTTGTGAATGGTATAGCCTTTTGGTATCCTTTTCATTGTGTTACTTTCACACTAAGACACCCCTAAAGGAGAGTCCCCACCTCAGCAATCTCAGCCCCTTCTGAGCTTAGAGGGAAGTCTCTAAAAGCCCTGAGATTTCATTCCTGAGGAAGGACACTGAAATGAAATTGTTCTCTCCCCTGTCTCCCTTGGATTAGATTCTGGTCTGGCCTTGGTACTGGTGAACGGAGGAGACAGATGCCGGGGTCGAGTGGAAGTCAGATACCAAGGATTCTGGGGCACCGTTTGTGATGATGACTGGGATGTGATTGATGGCAACGTTGTGTGCAGGCAGCTGGGTTGTGGATATGCTCTGTCAGCTCCAGGAAGGGCCCGCTTTGGTCAGGGCACTGGCAGAATTCTCCTGGATAACTGTGCGGTGTTCCGGGTCTGAATCTATCTGTGGTCCTGTCCCACAATGGGTGGCTGATCCACAACTGTCGGCACAGTGAGGATGCCAGTGTCATCTGCTCAGGTATTGTCTCTCTGGCAAAGTCCTGCTGCTTCTTTTCTGCAAGGGCTCCTATGTTATAGGAGCAGGCTCCTTTTCACCTTCCTATTAATATTCATGCAATGAACTGAGGCTCATATTAAGAATTCTTCTGTTAGATACATCCCCCAAGTACTTGTTCAGTCTGACAGACCCTTCCTGACCCCTTGCATGGAACTTGTGTTCTTACCTTGTCCTAGCAACACTGTTAATATATATCTTCTATTGCTTTAAATTAGAGCTTATTCTTATGTTTCTCTCTAATGATTTCCCTAAAGTTTTTTTCTGGCAATGTCACTTCCTGTTCAATACTTCCATTTGGTGGAAGAGAAGGGAAAGAAAACACATTTAATTTTCTTTCCTTTGAGGCAGTTAGGGTTAAGTGACTTGTCCAGAGTCATACAGCTAGTCAGGGTTATTTGTCTGAGGCCGCATTTGAGCTCAGGTCCTTCTGACTCCAGGGCCAGTGCTCTATCC